CATCCTCTCCTCAGCGAGGAGGTGGTAGACGACGCCGGTCGCGTGCTGAAGATGTGGATTAGTGAGTGTGAAGTAGGCTATCCTCGCATAAACGAGCGTGCACAGACCAACACACACACTATGTACCCCACAGAGTGTCGTGAGCGTGGTGTGAGTTATAAGGCGGCTATGTTTGCACAGATCAACTTCTCGCTGGATGACGAGATAGTTTTCTCTGAGCGACGCAGTATGGGGCAAGTCCCTATTATGGTCAAGTCGGAGAAGTGTAATATTGCGGATCTGCAACCCAGGTGAGTCTGGTACATCTGGGTGTGTATTAATTTTATACTTAGAGAGAGTGTGTGTTTAGATATAGTGTATATATGTAGGTATAGAGGAATAAATACTTAGATCTTTGTCATGATCATATATATTTATATACGTGTGTGTGTGTGTATGCATATATGCATATATACGAACAAGTCGAAATAATGTATTTGTAATGATTTGCCGCCCAGGGTATGTTTATTTGAGTAGCTGAGTATTGGACATTCGTTTTATAACGTATTCCCATTCACAAAAAGGCCTATTAAAGTAGGTATGCACTACAATTGCATACTCCAATATACGCCTACACATAAATAGGCCCATTGAAGTAGTTACGTGCTGGACATTTATACCACAATATATGCCCACACATTCCTACCACAAACGTCCACGTATACCGACCCTATGTCTACCTGTGTTGCTGTTCACATATCACCCCCCCCCCCCCCATAAGCCGACCCGCCCTACTCACACCTACACTACACCCACCCACACAGAGAGCTCATACGCCGCCGAGAAGAGCCCGAGGAACTGGGGGGGTACTTCATCATCAACGGACTGGAGAAGATCATCCGTCTGCTCATTCTGCCCCGTCGCAACTACCTGACCGGGGTTCAGAGAGGTGCGTACAAGAACAGGGGCAGCCTATACACCACGTGGGGTGTGCAGATACGCTGTGTGCGAGACGACCAGAGCGCTCTGACCAACGTTATCCACTACCTGACCAACGGCAGCTGCACCTTCAAGTTTAACTACCGCAAACAGGAGTTTCTGGTGCCGTGTGTGGTGATTATGAAGGCGTTACTAGACACCTCTGACCGTGAGATATACAACTCCATCAACCCGGGGGGGGAGGATCCGTTTGTGGGGGATCGTGTGGAGGCTATGCTTAGAGATACCACGGACAGGGGTTTGTTCACCCAGGAGCAGTGTCTGGCACATCTTGGCTCGTTGTTTAGACTGGCGATTGGCATGCCGGATCGACTCACCAATGCGGAGTGTGGACAACGTGTGTTGGACCGGTAGGTTGGAGTGTGCATAGACATGTATATAGTGTGTGTGTGTGTAGATGTATATATGTATGTATAGGTATAGGTACCGGTCCAGCTTATGAGCATTCATGTGCGAATGTGTGCGTGCATGTGTTCGTGGAGATACCTTTAATCATATGCATCCGCTAATATAAGCACCCCATCTGTCCATCCAAACCAACTGTTCCCCCACAGACTCGTCTTTGCCCATGTCAACGTGTGTACACTCATGAATAATTGTGTGTGTGTGTACCTTTGTGTGTATGCGAATATACCTGTCTCATCCATCCATCTATCCACCAAAGGTTTGTGTTCGTCCATATCAACGTGTGTGCACTTATAGGCAAATGAATGCATGTATATATATATTATAAATACTGTACATACATATATATATATGGACATAACTGTCTCATCCACCTATCCCGCCCCCCACAGGCTCGTCTTTGTCCATCTCGAGGATCCGCGCGACAAGTTCAATCTCATGGTCGCAGCCATTCAGAAGATGTACTCTCTCGTGAGCGGAGAGTGTCAGGTTGACAACCCTGACGCCCCCTCCATGCAGGAGGTGATGTTGCCAGGGCACTTTGTTAACATGTTTGTCAAGGAGAAGATGCAGGAGTGGACGGCCATGTGTAAAACACTCATTGAGAACCATATCAGGCGGAATGGCGACTACAACTTTAGTGACGGTGGGTGTGTCTGTATGAATATTTGTATCTGTACTTGTGTATAATATATATAAATTATATATATATACATAAGTATAGAACTATATCGTGTACGCAGGTAATTGTTTGTCGGTGCGTGTGTGTACATGTGTTAGTTTGTAGTATAAAGTACACCTGTGTGCTTATGAATGCCGTGTGTGCATGCGCAGAAACCATTTCGACTGCTCTCTTGGCCCATGTGCGTGAGATTATCTATCTATCTCTTCCTTTCTATATATTTATCTACCTTTCTTTCTTTCTTTCTATATATTCTCTTTCTATATATTTACCTATCTATCTGTCAATCTATCTTCAGCTCATCACTCTCTCCTCTTCTTCCTTAGTCCTATTGCATATAGCAAACACACAGCCGCATTTCTCTGTGTTGGTATGTCTGTATCTACCCACGCTAAGTGTGTTGGATACCACTTGGGCGTACGTGTATGTGACGTATGCCTTGTTTTGTCTATACCCACACACGCATATGTCCTGCATGTGACACAGCCCTACGTGCATGCACCCAAGTCCTAAAATCTGGGCCGCATTTGTCCTTTTCTCCTCCCAGGCGCTTTCTTCAGCAAAATCCTAACCAAGAATGTTGTCGATATCGGGCGCAAAGTTGAGTACATGCTGGCTACGGGAAATCTTCTGTCTGTGTCTGGTCTGGATATGCAGCAGGCGTCTGGGTTGGCTATCATGGCTGACAAACTGAACTTCTACCGATACATCTCTCACTTCAGGTACTTAACCGTGACACTGTACTACAATGGTGTGTACTGTGTATGGATGGGTGGATGGAGGGATGACGCTGTACGCCTTCTATCCTTGCGGGTTAGACACCACATGCCACCCACCAAACACAATGCGACCTACTCTGTGGAACCACCACCCGTGTGTGTACTCTGTTGCGAAGTGTTAGCGCTCAGCGTTGTGCGTTGTGATATGACACACTTTATTGATTTGTCTATCTTGCTCAAGGGTTGTGATACCAAGCACTGTATTGATATATTTATATTGTACAGGGGAAACTGTCCACCGCTGGAGTTCACAGTCATATATGGCCTGCTAGCACACGGCCCAACATGCACACTTACACACACACACAACACGCCGGCTAAGCTTAGCAACTCTCTTTATGCATGTATACTCGGCTGGATAATTACACACATGCGCCTATGCTTGACTCCTTCCCCCATGCATATACACTCGGCTGCATATGTTTACACCCATGCATCTATCCCAACCCCTTTCTCCGTGCATATCCACTCAACTGCATAAGCCTGTATTAGCTAAATCTTCGATCCACTACACCCATCACCCAAATGTCCAAACGTATGCTCACCCTCTACGTCTACCCACTTCCCAGGTGCATTCATAGAGGTGCCTTCTTCTCCGAAATGAAGACCACAGCGGTCCGAAAACTGTTGCCCGAGGCGTGGGGCTATCTGTGCCCTGTACACACCCCCGATGGAGCACCGTGTGGATTGCTGAACCATCTAAGTCACACGTGTGAGGTGGTCAATGAGTTGCATGACACAGGTGGCTTGCCTGAGCTGCTGGTGTCTCTTGGCTGTGTGCCTATTGGTAAGTGGAGGTGTGTAGGTACGTGTAGGTGTGCTTGCTTCATGTGGTATTTGGACATATATATATATATATATGCCTTTTTGGTGTATGTGGATCTATTTGCATTTTTATAAATAGATGCATATGTGCGTGTATATACACACCCGATTACTCTGTCGTTATAGTCCTATGTATTATATGGTGTTGCTGCTCTCACACTCCCTCTAAACCTTGACCTATCGTCCAACCAAGTGCGTGAGTCATCTATCTCTCTCTCTCTCCACCTAGTACTCCCTCTAAACCTACCCCCCTCTCCTCACCCCAGACACGGGTGTTATACTACCCCCCAGCCTACTACAGCGTCTTCCTCGACGGCCGTGTCGTGGGCAAATGCGTACCGCAACTCGCACAGAAGGTGGCGGATAAGCTACGTTACATGAAGGTTATGAACAAGGAGATGGTACCCAGAACCCTGGAGATCACACTCATTGAACGCACAAAGGGTGGCTTGTTCCCTGGGTTATATATGTTTGCGTCACCCGCACGGATGGTAAGGCCGGTGCAGTATCTGCGAACGGGCAATAACGAGATGCTGGGGTCATTCGAGCAGGTGGGTGTGGTTGGGCTGTGTAGTGAAGTGGATGGATCTGTATTTGTCTATATATTTATATGTAGATGTAATTCAAAACGATTTTTATTATGATATATATACAGATGGACATACGTATTCTTATATGTAGTTATATTCATTTCATATATATATTATGTATGTATGTACGTATGTATGTTATATACTCCCCTAACCTTCCCCACTCCCACATCTGCCCCACGCACAGGTATTCCTTAACGTCGCCTGTCTGCCCGAGGATGTACATCAAGGCCTGACCACCCATCAAGAACACCACCCCACACACATCATGTCAATGGTAGCGAACATGACGCCCTTCAGCGACCACAACCAGTCTCCGCGTAATATGTACCAGTGCCAAATGGGCAAACAGACCATGGGTACCCCCATGGCTGCCTATCCGTACCGAACTGATAATAAGCTGTATCGTATCCGCACGCCCCAGGCCCCAATTGTCAGAAACGCGGTAGGTGTACATCCCTAGTATAGTCTTCGTTTTAGGTTTTAAGGTGTCCTGTTTTATAAGTTTCCAGGTGCATGTCTGGGAATGGTTGATCCGGTGTGCGTGTGTCTTGGTGTGTGGTAGAGAGTGTACAGACAGAGGTGTCCTATTGTAGAAGTTTCCAGGTGCATGTCTGGCTATGGTTGAGTATGTATGCGTGTATTGTTATCAAGAGGAGTGTGCCCTCGTATGTAGTAGAGGGTGTCCTGATGTCCAGCATTCCAGGTGCATGTCTGTCTAAGGGTTCGCCTGTATGGGTGTATGATAATTAATTGCCCTGTCCTATTTACACGTCCTATCAAATAACTAATCCCCAACAGAATACACTCGTTACATTACTTATACATGCATCTCACTAAACTAATACTCATTAGCATAAACTAATTGTCATTAGCCTAAACTAATATTCAATAGCCTAAACTAATCTTCATTAGCTTAAACTAATTCTCATTAGCCTAAACTAATTCTCCGCCCCTATTCCGCTGGTGCATCAGCTGTACAACCACTACAAACTGGACAACTATCCGTTGGGAGCGAATGCTGTGGTTGCGGTCATTTCTTACACCGGATATGATATGGAAGACGCCATGATTCTCAACAAGGCCAGCGAGGACAGGGGATTTGCCCACGGAACAGTCTACAAGACGAAGGTGGGTGGGTGTACGATTATGTGTATTTATATATATATATATATGTTTAAACTTATTGATATGGATATTGATTTCATGAGGGTTCGCCCCTTGAGCGGACTGTAAGGTAGAGATAGCGATGTGTATTGTGAAGACGTCACACATATCCGCACGTGATTTACAAATAAATCTTCCTATCAAGCGTGTGTGGGCGTACGTGGTACATATTGGCACGATGACAATCTAGACATGTTCGTCTGAAGATAATATCAGGTCATTGGCTGCTAAACCTAAGAACGGCCCTTCTCGCTAGCTATGTACGCGGTACTTGGAAAGTCAAATTGCTTACTCGCTGGGGGTGTCTGTGTATGGGCAGTTGTGTGTCATGTGGAGTTTGGTACAACTCACAGTACTACAGTATTCATTACACTTGCCCTATAAGTGTTTGTTTTGTATATAGTATACGTGTTCGCATTTATATGTATGTAATATACATATGCCTAAATATATATATAATGTATGTTCACTCTACATATATATTAATATTATGTATGTTCACTATATATATATTATTATTACTATTATTTTGTTCACTGTATATATATATAAACATATAGATGTATACATTAATATATCCTTGACGCTTATTTCCACCGTTGATGTTGCGTACTCTGGTTTTTAGGTAATCGACTTGACGAAGGAAAAGAGACCTGGTGAAACAATTTCGCACAGATTTGGCATTTCAGATAAAGATCTCTTGAGGTTTGAAGGACGTATTGATGAGGATGGTTTCCCACCAATTGGTACCTTTCTGCAAGCGGGCGATCCGATATACTCGTATCTGGTATGTTTATGTATATATATATATATATAGTCATGCTTCAATGGCCTTACAAATGGTACAGAAGGCTATGATTGTACACTAAGAGACATGAAAGTGCAGAGTTCTTCTGCAGTCCTAATTGAAAGGGGGTGTCTTACTGAGAAGAGTTGTATTGAAGAGAAACGAGTATTCCGGTCACCTTGCCTTAGAAATACGAATGTCCACACTTTCTCTGTTCCAAGAACACATAAAGGCGTGTGTACGTACATACATACATAAACACATACAATTATTCATATTCTGATATTCATATATTCATATATCCCTTATATACACTCATATACCCCCTATACACATACAGGACACATTCACAAACCAATCCAAGGTCATCCTGTACAAAGACAACGAGGACTGTTTCATCGACGACATCCGCATTGTGGGCAATGACACTGGCACAGAAGAGGGCCAAAAGGCCCTAATGAAGCTGCGGGTGGTCCGAAACCCGATAATTGGGGACAAGTTCTCCTCCCGGCACGGGCAGAAGGGTGTGTGTAGTAAGAAGTACGGGTCAGAGGACATGCCGTTTACCGAGGGAGGCATGCAGCCGGATATCATCATCAACCCTCACGCCTTCCCGTCGCGAATGACTATTGGTATGGGGTGGTGGGGTTTCATGCACGTCCTCGAGTATATATATATATAGTGTTTGGTTTTGGATTCGTGTTCGTGTTGTGTTGTGTTTGTGTTTGAATGTAAATATACATATATATATATATATATATGTGGGTGGGTGTGTGTGTGTGCATGTGTATATATACCACGCCCTCAGCCAAATATAATCATTAACGTCACACTTTTCTGTCGTGAAGGGCTATAAGCATATTAGATTTAACCTTTTTTCATGCACACCCATGTATAGACACACAGTGTCACAGGCACAGTGTATGTTGGATTGTGGCTCGCACCAATCATTGCGATGGACTATTAGCAAGACGTGTAATTGTAATGTGTACTTGCATAGAAACAGCTGATAGTGCAAAGTAGCTCGACCCAACCATTACGAATGACTATTTCTCAAACCGTATACCTATAGTGTGTTGCAACAATCAAGCATCTTCGAGTACCTACACGACCACAACCACATATTCAAATATGAACCCCTTTGACAAACATGTATTAAAGCGCAAATAGTTATGCATATATACAGCAACTAATAACATCATATATGTATATGTATATATATATATATATATATATATATAATAATACTACTAACTACTACTACTACACACCACCTACCCTACCTAC